CCTGCTCTGCGGGCCTGCTTGGGCCTGGCTGGGCCACGGAGGAGCGGCAGGAGCAGCGCCTGGGGTGGTGTGAGCTGGGGGGGTCCGGGCTGGTGAGTGGGTGCAGGCAGAGGGCTGGGGTTCCCCGCACCCTGCCGTGCTCCCCCGAGGTGGCAGTGATTGGTTTCCCTTTCTTTCTCTCCCCAGTTATGGTGCAGGGTGAGCGGCAGCAAAACCCCGGGGTTGTTCCAGGCTCGGTGCAACGAGGCAGCTCCTCCCTGCTGTGCTGCTTTCCCAGCGAGGCAGGAACAGTTCTGGCCGTGAGGAGAAACCCCAGGGCAACTGGGACACACGGCAAGAGCCTCTCTCAAACTTCCCATGCCTGGTGGGCAGACTGGCCCCTTCAGATGACATAATGGAATGAACTCTCTACAACTCCCTCCCTTGAATGTAGCCATAAGAGCAATCCTCTGGGTACCTGTATCTGCCACCCGAGATAGAAGCCTAATTTGGACCTGCTGACTCACCCCTTGGGACTTCTCATTTCTCCCGAGGTGACAACAGACTAGAGAAACAGTTCAGTTGCTCAGGGTTTTCTTTGCTGTTCCCTGTCTGCAGTGTGTGTCACTTTAGGTGCTTCTTTAGTTGTGGGAAATAAATAAAACAGCAGCCAAGCACATCCCATTTTCTTTCGGGTGTGGATATGTGTGTTAGTCCCTGGGAATCCCATGGGCACACTGAAGGGCAGGGCTGTGCAGAAAGGCTTGTAGTGGTGGGACAAAGAGAAAAGGGTTTAAACTGACAGTTGGCAAGTTTAGATGAAATATTAGGAAGAAGTTCTTCCCTGTGAGGGTGGGGAGGCACTGGCACAGGTTGCATGGAGAGCTTAGGGATGCTCCATCCATTCAGGTGTCCCGAGCAGGTTGTATGGGGCTTGGAGCAGCCTGCTCTAGTGAAAAGTGTCCATGCCATTGGCAGGAGGGTGGGATTAGATGATAAACATGATCCATTCTATTCCAAACCATTCTACCACCCTCGGATGTGTGGGCTGTCCATGAGAGACCACTTTGGTTCCCCAGGGTCTGTCTTCCTTAGGCTGCTGCTCTTGGGCACTGCTTTGGTCAAAGGTT